ATCTCGGTGAAGTTCATTATTGCCTTGGTATTCAAGTAGAACGAGATAGAAACAAGAAACGAATGACCCTGAGATTAAAAGTCTGATGCTCTACCAACTGAGCTAACGGGGCAGCACGGAAGTTGGGAATCTCATGCGTCAATAAGATCGTAATCTTCTTAGTAATTGCCTTCGTACGTATCATTAAAAAAAAATTAAATAATTTAGGAAAGTCGTTTTGCCGAAACCCGGGATCTTCAGTCTGACGCTCTCCCATCTGAGCTATTTCGGCAGGTTCTCTACCTCTTAAGAAGGTACTTCCACGTGTGTTGTCCTTTCCAAATAGCTTGTTAAGTTTGCACAACCACCGAAAATAATAATGCAGTCTTTCTTGAGCCCGATATGGGACTCGAACCCATGGCCCTCAGATTAAAAGTCTGATGCTCTACCAACTGAGCTAACCGGGCCGCACGGAGGTTGGAAATCTCATGCGTCAATAAGTTCGTAATCTTATTAGTAATTATCTTAATATCATTAAAAAAAAGTCAGATAATTTAGGATAGTCGTTTTGCCGAAACCCAGGATTGAACCAGGGACCTTCAGATCTTCAGTCTGACGCTCGCCCACCTGAGCTATTTCGGCAGGTACTATATCTCTTAAGAACGTACTTCGAAGTGTGTTGTCCTTTCCAAATAGCTTGTTAAATTTGCAGAATGGCCGAAAATGATATCTTTCTTGAGCCCGATATAGGACTCGAACCCATGCCCATCAGATTAAAATCTGATGCTCTACCAACTGAGCTAACCGGGCCGCACGGCGGTTGGGAATCTCATGCGTCAATAATATCGTAATCTTCTTAGTAATTATCTTAGTATCATTAAAAAAAAGTCAGATAATTTAGGAAAGTCGATTTGCCGAAACCCTGCATTGAACCAGCGACCTTCAGATCTTCAGTCTGACGCTCGCCCACCTGAGCTATTTCGGCCGGTACTATATCTCTTAAGAACGTACTTCGAAGTGTGTTGTCCTTTCCAAAAAGCTTGTTAAGTATGCTGAATGCCCGAAAATGATGTCTTTCTTGAGCCCGATATGGGACACGAACCCATGGCCCTCAGATTAAAAGTCTGATGCTCTACCAACTGAGCTAACCGGGCAGCATGGAAGTCGGGAATCTCATCCGTCAATAAGATCGTGATCTTCTTAGTAATTACCTTAGTATCATTAAAAAAACCCAGATAATTTAGGATAGTCGTTTTGCCGAAACCCGGGATTGAACCAGGAACCTTCAGATCTTCAGTCTGACGCTCTCCCTTCTGAGCTATTTCGGCAGGTACTATATCTCTTAAGAACGTACTTTGAAGTGTGTTGTCCTTTCCAAATAGCTTGTTAAATTTGCACAACACCCGAAAATGATAATGCAGTCTTTCTTGAGCCCGACATAGGACTCGAACCCATGGCCCTCAGATTAAAAGTCTGATGCTCTACCAACTGAGCTAACCGGGTCGCACGGAGGCTGGGAATCTCATGCATCAATAAGATCGTAATCTTCTTAGTAATTATCATAGTATCATTAAAAAAAAGTAAGATAATTTAGGAAAGTCGTTTTGCCGAATCCCGGGATTGAACCAAGGACCTTCAGATCTTCAATCTGACGCTCTTCCACCTGAGCTATTTCGGCAGGTACTATATCTCTTAAGAACGTACTTCGAAGTGTGTTGTCCTTTCCAAAAAGCTTGTTAAGTTTTCTGAATGCCCGAAAATGATATCTTTATTGAGCTCGATATGGGACTCGAACCCATGGCCCTCAGATTAAAAGTCTGATGCTCTACCAACTGAGCTAACCGGGCAGCACGGAAGTTGGGAATCTCATCCGTCAATAAGATCGTGATCTTCTTAGTAATTACCTTAGTATCATTAAAAAAAATCAGATAATTTCGGTAAGTCGTTTTGCCGAAACCCGGGATTGAACCAGGGACCTTCAGATCTTCAGTCTGACGCCCTCCAATCTGAGCTATTTCGGCAGGTACTCTATATCTTAAGAACGTACTTCCACGTGTATTGTCCTTTCCAAATAGCTTGTTAAATTTGCACAACCACCGAAAATAATAATGCAGTCTTTCTTGAGCCCGATATGGGACTCGAACCCATGGCCCTGAGATTAAAAGTCTGATGCTCTACCAACTGAGCTAACCGGGCCGCACGGAGGTTGGGAATCTCATGCGTCAATAAGATAGTACTCTTCTTAGTAATTATCTTAGTATCATTAAAAAAAAAGTCAGATAATTTAGGAAAATCGTTTTGCCGAAACCCGGGATTGAACCAGTGACCTTCAGATCTTCAGTCTGACGCTCTCCCTTCTGAGCTATTTCGGCAGGAACTATATCTCTTAAGTGCGTACTTTGAAGTGTGTTGTCCATTTCAAATAGCTTGTTAAATTCGCATAACACCAGAAAATGATAATGCAGGCTTTCTTGAGACCGATATGGGACTCGAACCCGTGGCCCTCAGATTAAAAGTCTGATGCTCTACCAACTGAGCTAACCGGGCCGCAAGGAGGTTGGGAATCTCATGCGTCAATAAAATCGTAATTTTCTTAGTAATTATCTTTCTATCATTAAAAAAAAATCAGATAATTTAGGAAAGTCGTTTTGCCAAAACCCGGGATTGAACCAGGGACCTTCAGATCTTCAGTCTGACGTTCTCCCTTCTGAGCTATTTCGGCAGGTACTATATCTATTAAGAACGTACTTTGAAGTGTGTTGTCCTTTCCAAATAGCTTGTTAAATTTGCAGAATGCCCGAAAATGATATCTTTCTTGAGCCCGATATGGGACTCGACCCAATGGCCCTCAGATTAAACGTAACCGGGCCGCACGGAGGTTGGGAATCTCATGCGTTAATAAGTTCGTAATCTTATTAGTAATTATCTTAATATCATTAAAAAAGTCAGATAATTTAGTCAGTCGTTTTGCCGAACCCCGGGATTGAACCGGGGACCTTCAGATCTTCAGTCTGACGATTTCTCATCTGAGCTATTTCGGCAGGTACTGAACATCGTAAGAACGTACTTCGAAGTGGGTTGTCCTTTCCAAATAGCTTGCTAAATTAGCACAACACTCGAAAATGATAATGCAGTCTTTCTCGAGCCCGATATGGGAGTCGAACCCATGGCCCTCAGATTAAAAGTCTGATGCTCTACCAACTGAGCTAACCGGGCTGCACGGTGGTTGGGAATCTCATGCGTCAATAAGTTCGTAATCTTATTAGTAATTATCTTAATCCCCGAGCCGGTACCCGTGCGAGGGTACTAATTCCGCCCGGCTATTTACACCCGGGTGTTTGAAAACATAGCGACGTGCAAAGTTGTCCACCATTATGTCACAGAATACTACACAGAAGGCCATCTCCATTGTTTTTAGCGTAAGCGCTATTCGTCATGATTCGTCACTCAGCAAGTACCGTAAACAGAAGCAGTCTCCCCCCTGGAAATACTAAAAATGGCGAACGTCCAGGGGGGTGACTGCTTCTGTTTACGGTACTTGCTGAGTGACGAATCATGACGAATAACGCTTACGCAAAAAACAATGGAGATGGACTTCTGTGTAGTATTCTGTGATTATTTGATGGACGATCTTCGATGTTATTGCGCATGCACGTGTAATAGCTCGCTCTAAAATTCTAAAAATACTAGAAAATACATGCATGCAGAAACCCTCGCCTTGCTGACAAAACCATTTTATTTTCCGAACGCGAAGTATTTTAAGTAGTTGTCATGGTAACACGATAATTTTTTAAGAATATTTTTACAAATGAAAAATCCCCCAGAAATATCACTATTAATTACAAAATTATCAATTTCCTAAACATACATATGTTAGGTATGTTATTATACGTAATATAAGCATGAATTTAAGGTAAAATTCAACCACAAACGCTTCGCAAAACGTTTTAAAATGTTCTTTTACTATAGAACTAAACTGCCTTTATCGATAAACTTTGAGTTCAAAATAAAATGATTCCAAATTCTCCCATGCAAATAACTTTGCTTAGTATGATAAAAAGTGTAATCAATAAAGAAACACTGAAATAATACGCTGTCTTGTTTCATATTTATACACAACGATCGGCTTTTAAATTAATTACAGTAGGTATGTTATTATACGTAATATAAGCTTCAATTTAAGGTAAAATTCAACCACAAACGCTTCGCAAAACGTTTGAAAGTGTTCTTTTAATATAGAACTAAGCCGCCTTTATCGATAAACTTTGAGTTCGAAATAAAATTCAGTATTCCAAATTCTCCCATGTAAATAACTTTGCTTAGTATAATAAAAAGTGTAATCAAGAAAGAAACACTGAAATAATACGCTGTCTTGTTTCATATTTTATATACGCAACGATCGGCTTTTAAAGTAATTACAGTCGAGATTACAGTATGTTAAAAGCAAACAATGCATCAATATTTAAAACAAACTTACCTTCGTTAACGTCGGCACCTTTACTTCCTTCTTTTAGCAATCCTCTTGCCTTTATTTCATCAAAATCCTTTGCAATTTACAAAATCTTGCAAAAATGAAATATATTTGCAAGAAATCATCAAATCAATTTCGCTGTCGTCAATCGTCATGCAGCCGTTATAATGCCAATTTTAAATTGGACCAATCAGTGTTGGCTATTCATTACAGTCCGCTATATTATGAGATCAGTGAGGATGACCACCCACCGAAACACGCACAGTGACCCACGCCCGCGATATTTGATGAACTTTAGACTTCGCTAATGCTTCCCTTCCCCGGGTGTAAATAGCCGGGGGGAATTAGTACCCTCGCACCACAGAATAGAAAATAAGACCAGAAGCCTCACTCAGCCAAAATTGTGTCCGAGATTTTTTATGCGCAGGCGCGAGCCAGCAAGTGTAATCCACGCCATCAAACGCGAGCAATTACGCCATCAATTGCCATTACCAGGTAA